TTACCCCCAGGATTCTAGGGGGGGGTATTTACCCCCAGGATTCTAGGGGGGGGTAAATAACCCCAATAACCCCCCTTATTTACGCCACTGAGGGAAACCATTAATGACCAGTTTAAAGGAACAACAACACCGTTTTAATGGTACCGTTGCAAATCTGCCATCTTTGCTTGGAGGGTTGCAATTGAAATTACGCTTACTGTCTCTTTATTGTTGTTAGAAAGGGGGGGGGACGAAGCACCTAAAAAGCAGATTTTAATTATTTAGAAAACGTTACGCCGGCTTGAGATAAATCACTCTGAGTCAGTTGGAGACTCTGGTGCAGTACACATTACTAAATTTGGTGAATTTTTCATTTAATCTATAAAATAAAGCATATATATATATATATATTTGCAGTTAATTCCTAAATAAGTCGTATTCTTAACTTTCTGATAATGGAATGTTGCAGATATTTAGTTTTTTTTAATTAAATGATTATATGAAACTCTTTAAAACTGTTCCCGCATATTCATGGCTATTTATTTATTTTCGCAAATACTGAGATTTACGTAAAATAGTAAAACCCATTGAAAAATTATCAAGACGACATTTGATAACTTCTTTCGAAGTGTGGCTCATTCAGGGTTTAATTTTTTATAAATTGATAAGGTAGCTATATAGCTGGCCAAACGGCTGAACCAAATTAGCCAAAATTTGTCGAGGGAACTCAGGGGTAAATTTTCGTCAAAAATAATTTTTTCTTTCTTTTTAAATTTCGATTTTTTTATTCGACAAGCACTTTAGCTAGTTTTATATTATGCAAGATTGTATACTTGGCTTGTCTTGGAATTTTTCCTTTAAAAATCAACCTACTTAACCTAACTTAACCTACTTAACCTACTTAACCTAACCTAACCTACTTAACTTGGAATTTTAAAATCGTTCCAGTGCTTCTGCAATTAATAAAATAGCAATCTCTTTTTGTTTGTTTGAATGTTTGATCAAACAAATTTATCCCTAAACCGATTTGCCTCAAATTTTGATTGGTTAACACTGATGTAACGTTGGAATGTTCCTAGCTTAGTTTAACAAATTTAAGTTAAGTTAAGGGTAGTTTGGATTTTATAGAGGAAGTTTAGTTTCCTGACAAAGCTGGGTTCCCGAGCTAGTGCATTATGAAATGTTTATCCGTTGTTTAGAAAACCTTGAACTCTTGGGGATTACAGAAACCAATGTAGGTAAAACAAACTAAACACTAAATTCTTAATTTCTCCATTTAAATGAAAAAAGATAAAAATAAAGTTTGTATGATATGATTGTTCTTTTTAAGGTTTGGCAACTTTGGCTATTGCAATATTTGGATTGCCGAAACTCAAAAACTTGCCAATGGTTAGTACAATTTTTTAATATTTTGTTTTTTGATCTTTTTTTTATCCAGTTAAAAAAATTTTACTTTTTAAAATTGATTACTCCTCTCAAACTTACGTTTTCTATTTATTAAATTAGGTTGCAAAGAAATAAGGACTAAACTATTAGTGTTTGAGAGGAGAGATCTGTTCCTTCATAGATTACTAGCAATACAGATATAACACTAGATGTCGTCTTTTCAAGATTTAGGGGGTTTGCGTTCACAATAACCCTGAGACAGAAGCCCAAAGGAATTGTGCGTATGCTCGCTCTCTGTTTTGTCATTCAACGAGGCATGCACGTAACTCCTAATTAGGTATCTGTCTCAGGGTTATTGTGAAGCCCCTAGATGTTTTTAAATGGCTGAAAGAAATATATCTAAATTGTCAATTTTTTTGTTGTTCTTTTTTTAGGGTGATTTTTTATGTGATGTTTTGGAGTTTGTTGAGATGGAAGATACTCAGGTTTGGAGGAGGGGTGATCCTTGTCCTAGATTGAAAATCCAGGTCTTTTGTGTTTTTTTTTGTAATTTTTATCAGAACTGAGCAAAGACTATCCTACCATAAATCTAGAAAAAAGAAAATATCTTCCAAAACATTGATTTAAAAAAAGGATTTAATAAAAAAAGAAAATATCTTTGACATTATAGATCAGATAAACATATTTTAATCTTAAAATTACGCTTTTAATCCCTTTAATTTTAAAGCTTCCATTGTCTTAGCGCATTTTTGATATTTCAAATTTTTCTATTCTCAGGAGTTTTGTTGTTCTGAGATCTACCATTTTCACTCCACAAAACAAATGACTAGAGTTTCAAACATGTGTCCTTATATTAGGTTAGTGTAACTGTCTAGTCAAAGAAGAAATAACAAGAATTAAATTCAATGAAAATTGTCTTCGCTCTATACTTTTATAACTAACATCGCTTTGCGAAAAAAAAATAATATACGCAATTTTAAGCAGAAGAAAAGAATAAAATTCGTTCTTTTTGTTCAAGCAGGGCTAGTAGTTAGCGTTTTTCAAAATCGTTAGTTCGTTAATGGAACTTTGCCTAACCCTAGTCTTTCTGTTCTATAAGTTTTATTTCAGAGAAGTAAGTTTCTTCTACGATGGCGAGGAGCTGTGCGAACTGAATACTCTAAGCCTTCTTCCAAAACTGGTTCAGCTCAAGCTCAATGGTGGAGATGTCAGCAAGTAGGGAACACATCTCATATATTATATAGATTTAACAGATTCAAGGCTGAAATCACGTGTTTTACACAAGTTTTTTTCAAATGGAAGTACAGACTGCTCAAGAATTTTGATAAAAATCCGGGAACAGAAAAACCGGAATCCAGGAACCATGGTCACTGTCAGTCTGCTTCATCAAGCTATGTACGCATTTGAATGAACTGAACTAAATTAAATTATTTGTGCAGTTTGAGTGGAAAAATGTAACTAAGAAATTTACATGGGCTCTATGCTCTTGGGCATAAAGCGTTTTCAAAAATTTTCTCCTTGTAGACGCAACAGTTTTTTTGGGATTCAGCGTAACCCCCATTTAATTTTTGGAAACACGCTTCCTCTTCAAAATTTTGACCAGCAGATTGTATATTTATAAGAGTTTCCAGTTAGAGCCATCAATGAAGTCTCATCCTTTAAGCTTTGATTTTACACTCCTGTATGCCGAGCCCATTAGAGCCTGATCCGATCAGGGTTCAGTCATGTGTTTGATGTCTATTCTGAACCATTAGAAATTGTATAGTGGTAACATCTATCTTTCCATCTATCTCATTATTCAATCAGAGTTACAAATCCTTCAATTGGCGCTATCAGTAAATGGAAATATTTACTTCTACTGAAACTTATAGTATTTAGGGACCCAATAAGAGAATTTTTTGAGATGATTGGCCCTAGACTAGAGAGACTTGAGTTAAATCATATAGAAAATATCGACAAGCAATTTATAGTACAGGTAATTTCTTTTAAAAAATTAATTGTTATTTTAGAATATACTTAGGGCTGGGCAAAGTTCCTTATACAAAATGGAAGTTAACGATTAGCCATTTTTGAACAAAAAATTAACGGTTTAAAATCATGGAAAATGGATGTGTTCAAAAAAATGACAACCTTCGTTCTTTTTTTTCCTGCTAAAATTGCTTTAAACCCAAATTTTTAGAGTTTTTACAATTTGACCAACTGTTAACATTGATTAACAAAATGTTAACCCCATTAATAAATTGAGACTACTATTACTTACAGTAACTTAAAAAAAAACGAAAAATACTGTCAACGAAATGTAAGTTCCGTTCTTACCTTTTAACTAACGACTAGTTGACACTTTTTTAACGGTTGGAACTCACCATTAACGAAACGACTAAAATGTTGGAACGTGCCCAGCCCTAAATATATACGTTTACACAAGCAAAAACTGGTTTAGCAAATGATATATATTCAGCTCTCTGTTTGGTGTCCAAATCTACAATATCTTAGCTTCTCAGCTTGCTCTTTTCTGGACTATGCCTCCCTTCACAGGTATAGAGGAGGGGGAGGGGGCTCAATAATATATACCTTATATATACTTTGTTTAGAGAATTGTTTGAGTATGCGAATAGTGAAGGTCTTGACACAATCGAGCAAATTGAACTAGGTCACATTTTATCTAGTCTTTTTCTCACTCTAGTATTTTGCCATTTTCAAAACATTTTATTTACGTTTAGAGATCACAGTTGTATAGTTTCTCATTAAACTTTAGCAAACATATATATGTATGATTGCTGTAGCTGGCAAAATGGTTGAACCAAATTGGCTGAGATTATTTGAGGAAACCCAAGGGTACCCTGGGGGTAACACAGCTAGGAGATAGTAATATTTATTCATTTTAGGTAATCTTTTACGAGATCAAGAAAATGTAGCTTATCAGGTTAATTTTAGCTAAATTTCACAAAAACATATTTTTGAAATTAATTTTCTTAAATTTGAAAATTTAATTTTTCCTTTTTAAGATTGAGGATATGATTCAGCCATTTTCAAATTTAGGAATGCATTTTATAAATATTCAAAATTATTCATATTTTAAACCATTTAATGTTTATGCTTTTGTAACAAGTGAAATTAAACCCTGTCGTTAAACTAGGGTTTGCAGCGAAAATGAAAAATCGCTTCGCGAAAATGCAAATATTTTCGCATTTTTTTGCATTTCGTTCGCTTTAATCTATTTCGCGAAAAAATGCGAAAATTTCGCAAAAAAATTCTGAATTAAAAATAAATGCAAAATTTTTGCAAAAAATTCATCTAAAAATACGAAATACAAAAAACACATGGCTTCTGCGGAAATGTTCACGAAAAAATTGCAAAATTCGGAATTTTTGCGAAATTTCGCTTCTTTTTCTTATTTTCACTTCATTCATTTTCGCGAAATTTCGCATTTCTTTGCATTTTTTCACAAAACATTTCGTTCACTGCAAACCCTACTTTAAACGCTTTATGCTAATTTCTTTCAAGCAAAGAATAAGTTATCAACTAAAAACTTTCGGTATAAAGCAGAAATATATTTTTAATTTGTCATTGAAAGTAACCCAAATAATTTTAATTGACGAACTATATTCACAGAAAAGAACACAAATATTTAGATTTGATTTCAATAGATAAGATTGAAAGAGTAAAAAAAATAAAGAACAGTTATTTTTTCCATTCATTTTCTTCCATTTATGCCAATATATGTATATATATATATAAAGAACTGTTCTTTATTTTTTTTACGGGCAACGCCGGGCACTCCCGCTAGTCTAAAATAAAAGCAAACTTGTGGATAATATCTACAGTCTACAGGTTGATGAAAAAATTATAAAAATGTATTTTTAAGTTGAACTGAACATATCTAGTTCCTGCAGTCGGGTCATCTTGGTGTTTATTCTTCTCTGCTGTCAGAAGATAACCAGGTTAATATCTTGTTAGACGGGTATAACAAGCTGTTAGAAGGGTATAACAACCTGATAGAAGTGTATAACATACTGTTAGAAGTGCATGACAAGCTGGTATTAGGAGTGTATAACAATCTGATGAAGGGTATCACAACCTGATAGAAGTCTGAGAAGAGTATAAGAATGCTATAGAAGGGTATAACAAACGGTTAGAAGGGTAGAAAAAACTGATGCTGCATAGGTAAGAGAAGGTTATAACAACCTGTTAGAAGGGTTCAACACGATGTTAAGTTTTTACAACATAAGGGTTCAATTAGATGTGAGAAGGGTAAACAAGGGAGCATCCTTTTCTAAGGGAATAGATAGGAACAAAAGAGATAGAATTGAATTTTAAAAGTTCTTTGTTTTTAGATTAAACTTGGGAACCTATACAGATCTAACAGATGATGTGATGCAACAAATAATCAGTGTAAACCCACTGACAAGGTAAATACAAACTATGGAAGACGACAGATCTAATTTTACACAAAACCAAACCAAACTTGGAATCATTGTTTGTCCGCTAGATGTCACCCAAAGTATGTATAGCTGAGTCAGTACATAATCTAATTTTACTATGCTTTCTATTTGTTTTCATGGAGAGAGGTTGTGTTTCACCGTGAGTAAGTTAAGAAATCATATGTTTGCAAAAAGTGAGGATGGGTCGATACGGACTCTGTGTACTGTAGATCACTGCTACAGTACATACCAAAAGTTTAGTTTAGGGTGACTGCACTCAAACAATTTATTTGATCTTTGCTTTTTTCACAATTCTGTGAAACATCAGCTAGGCAAAGTTTATATTTTAATTTCCAAAAGTATTTTACCAAGATTATATTTTAGGTTGGAATTTCTTCACGTACATAGCAGCAAATATTTAACTAAATATAGTCTAGATCTAATTCTCACCAGTTGCACCTCACTCAGGTGCCTAGCATAACAATAGTTTTGAGATTAAAGGGACTGTAAGCGTAACTTGATCTGATCCTTGATGCAAAGATGGCAATGTATAATTTACAACGCTGTGCTTAAAAGCATTGTCTGATGAAGTTTAATTAAGATATCCATGTTTTCCATATCCATGTTGTCTGATGAAGTTTAATTAAGATATCCATGTTTTTGTTTCATTTAACTGCAATGGCGAAGTTATATAAACTAATGCACTTTTTGAGTCAGATAACGACGTTCCATATTTTTAATCACATAAAGGTTTCAAGGTTACTATATATGTAAGTCTAACATGACAATATTTGAATGGAGGGTTGTTTGAAATTACGCTTACAATCCCTTTAAATGATATTCGTCAAGTTCTACTTAATAACAAATATTTAAATTAAAAGTATTTTACTGTTCTAGAGAAATAAAGGGTTTACCATATTGGAGTTGTGTAGGAGAAGATGAAAGAAATCAGGTTTTTGTCACATTTTTTAAATACTTTTAAAAACTCCAGTGATAGTCGTATATATCAATACAACAAGGACGACTTTTGATTTCAATTTTTGATTTCTTACAAAATTTCGAATAGCATGGATACACATTACACAATACACATAACCATTATTAATAATTAATATTTTTCAGTTAGTTCTGTGGATCAAAAAGAACAATGTTGATTTAAGTAAGATATTTCCTCTACAGCATAGATTAATTACAATACAGATAAAACACTAGATTTTGTCTTTTCAAGATTTAGGGGTTTTAGGTTCACAATAATCCTGAGACAGAAGCCCAAAGGAGTTACGCGCATGCTCTCTCTCTGTCTTTAACGCGGCATGTGCGTAATTCCTTTGGGCTTCTGCCGTAGGATTATTGTAAACGAAAAACCAATAAATCTTGAAAAGACGACATCTAGTGTTTTATCTGTATTGTTGTTAATCTATGCTTTAAACCTTTTTCTTTTTAAAGATGCATTTGTATTTGTTCAGCTCAAATCTTTTTTTTAATTGCTGTTTAAAGTTAATTGCGCATTTATCTCCTTTAGAGAAAATTGAGTTCGTTACTTTCTTAAATGAAAAAATGGTTAAAATATTTTACTTTGAGAGGTCACTTGTAATAACGCTATACAGACCCTTTAAACAAACTTATAAATACATTTAAAATACTAAATTTTAAATGTTGGCAAATTCGAATTTTTGAAATCTGAGATTTTACAATGATGACGACATTTTCAGAACTTGAATCTAACTTTTACCATGGCTTTGTAGAGATGTACACTTTTCACTTTTTTCATTTGGTTCGTTCATCGTTTGTGAAGGACACATATTTTCGTTTTTTTTCAATTGTTCAAAAAATTGATTTTGTTTATTTTAAAAATTATTGTTAAATGTTAATCTATTTTCTTTGTTTTTTTACAGTAAAATCGTTTGTTCAGTAAAATAGTTCGTTCAGTAAAAGTAAACAATATTTTTTTTTATTTGTTAGAAAAAAAAAGATTTTCCAAATCTTTTGTAAAAATAGTTCATTCAGTAAAATGACAATGGTTTTTCAAATTTGTCCCGAAACAGTTTTGTTCTTTCTAAAAAAGTTTGGTTGTTCAATACAACTATTACTATCTTTGATGTAAATTCAATATGATATAATATATATACTAAACATTTAATATTCAGGTATACCTGAAATTATATCAGCAGACCAATCAAGTTTTTTCAATACCAGGTGACTTTTAAAAAATACAAAGATTCCAGAGTGCTTCGCGCCCCTCTTTCAAGCTGATTTTTAGTTTTTAAATGTTTCAATTTTACAAGAACTACTTGGTTAATCTCTGTCAATTTTGAAGGTTCAAAATTGTTGGACCACATTTTGGAAATCCCCGGGACCAGCAGTTTTCGGTGTTAACTATTTTAACTGAAATACTACTATAAAATTGTGATAACGAAATACTGCCGGAAGGAACAAAGACGACATGAAGTTGTCACTTAATTCCCATGTTTATTAGAACACTCTGTACTATGTAGATTCAGATAAATTTCTCTCTAGGGTTGAACTGACTGAGAGTATTAGAAAATTTCTCTCCACACAGTAATTATTCTAAAAAGTGAAATAAATTTATATATTCTGTTATTATTTCATCTATCTATTACAAACTGAAGAGAGATAGTTATATATAAGACCATTCCCCTGGGACCTAGTAGCCTGTAATGTGTCCTATATTAGAAAATTTCTCTCCACACAGTAATTATTTTAAAAGTGAAATAAATTTATAAATTCTGTTATTATTTCATTTATCTATTACAAACTGAAGAGAGATAGTTATATATAAGACCATTCCCCTGGGACCTATGTAGCTTATAATGTGTTCTATATTAGAAAATTTCTCTCCACACAGTAATTATTTTAAAAAGTGAAATAAATTTATAAATTCTGTTATTATTTCATCTATCTATTACAAGCAGAAGAGAGATAGTTATATATAAGACCATTCCCCTGGGACCTATGTAGCTTATAATGTGTTCTATATTGCTGAACATAATGAACGGCAAGTTATCAAAAAATAAAGTGAGATTCTGAAACCATTCTTGCTTAAAAAAAACGGAAAAGTAAAAGTAACGAATGGATGTGTTATTAAATAACGGTGACTTTCATCACTTTTCTACTTAAAATTGCAAAAGACTTTAAAGAAAAAAAATTGTATTATTATGAAGAATAATATATTTAAAGTTATAAATAGAAACCTCAGGAATTTAAATGGCCTTATTCACAACGAAAAGATCGTTTTTAATAACAATCGTTTTTAAAAGAAATTTTTTTTCAACAACGATCAAAACAAAACCAATCATTGGTTAGTTTTAAAGAAAATACCCAAAAGTTTTAGTCCCTTAAAACTTTTTACCATGCATGTAAGACGACATTTATAACTGTCGTCATATATGTCATATATGCATTTCAACCCTATATCTATTCTCTAAGGCTTTTTTCAAGGGGGAGTGTCAAATGCCCCCAATCCAGGCAATACATAGATGCAGACCCCCCAGCCTTCATAGGGTTAACGCTATCTCTGCTGGGGTACTTAAAAACCAGGATCGTAGGTTGGATCATCTTTTAATATTTTTAACATTGTAAAATATCACTGATTTGATTCAATAGATTTTATTCATTTCATTTAGCGTTTATCGTATGGGAATAAAAGAAGATATTTATTATTAATATAACAAAATAAAACTTTTATAATGCTTCACTTGCTATAATGTACAGCAAATTTAAATTTATATCACGATGATTACTTTATAGCATGTTCATTATAAAATTCATAAGAATGATAAAGTTTGCAGTGTGCAGTTTGCAGTGAGCAGTGAGCAGTTTGCAGTTTGCAGTGTGCAGTGTGCAGTGTGCAGTTTGCAGTGTGCAGTTTGCAGTTTGCAGTTTGCAGTTTGCAGTGTGCAGTTTGCAGTGTGCAGTTTGCAGTTTGCAGTGTGCAGTTTGCAGTTTGCAGTTTGCAGTTTGCAGTGTGCAGTGTGCAGTGTGCAGTTTGCAGTGTGCAGTTTGCAGTGTGCAGTTTGCAGTTTGCAGTGAGCAGTTTGCAGTTTGCAGTTTGCAGTTTGCAGTGTGCAGTGTGCAGTGTGCAGTTTGCAGTGTGCAGTTTGCAGTTTGCAGTTTGCAGTTTGCAGAGTGCAGTTTGCAGTGTACAGTGTGCAGTTTGCAGTTTGCAGTTTGCAGTGTGCAGTGTGCAGTTTGCATTGTACAATGTGCAGTGTGCAGTTTGCACAGTGTACAGTTTAATGTTTGCAGTGTGCAGTTTGCATTGTACAGTGTGCAGTGTATATTGCACAGTGTACAGTTTAATGTTTGCAGTGTGCAGTGTGCAGTTTGCAGAGTGCAGTGTGCAGTGTGCAGTGCGCAGTGTGAAGTTTATAGTGTAATTTAAGCATATCACATGATTTAATCTAATTATGCTATGTATTCAATTGAAACACAGTTTCAATGAATAATGTCATTATGTAAAGGTCTACAGCATAAATTGTTAATAATGTACAATGTACCGCAGGTTTCCAGAATATCATGTTTGCACAATATTTGCTACATTGATGGTATTGGAAAGGGAAGAGAGGGTGTTGGAGAGGGGAGGAAGGTGTTGGAGTAGGAAGAAGGGTGTTGGAGAGGGGAGGAAGGTGTTGGAGTAGGAAGAAGGGTGTTGGAGAGGGGAGGAAGGTGTTGGAGTAGGAAGAAGGGTGTTGGAGAGGGGAGGAAGGTGTTGGAGTAGGAAGAAGGGTGTTGGAGAGGGGAGGAAGGTGTTTGAGTAGGAAGAAGGGTATTGGAAAGGGAAGGACGAGTTTGGAGAGGAATGACGGGTGGTAGAGTTATGATAGTGGAAGTTGATGTTAGATCCTCCAAAATCACAAAACCTCTCATGAATAAAGTCACAAAACCTTTCATAAATAAAAATCACAACACCTCACATGAAAATTCAACCTCGAATGTTTACAGATCACGAATCTCATAATCAGAGAAAGAGTCAGAAATCAGGAAATCTCTCAAGTCAGAAATCGTGAAATCTCTAAAGTCAGAAATCACGAAATCTCTCAAATCAGAAATCACGAAACAGGAAACATCTCAAGATAAAGATCATAAATTAAAACAAATTTGTTGATTATCGACCAGGTTTATGTGTTTAAAAAAGCCAATTTTCACCATTTTACAGTATATATATTATTTTGTTTTGAATTTCAAGAATAATTAAATCGTCACATATGTCTTTCAATATTTCTGCAACATAAAATTCCGTTTTCAGTTGAGAGGGGGGGATGGGTTTTCAGTTGAGAGGGGGGGGGATGGGTTATCAACATGTTTGTTATGAAAAATCGTTCGTTCAGTAAAAAAAACTTTTTTTTCAAAATTTTTCAGAAATATGTTCAGTAAAAAATGAGAGTTTGATCAGTATCAATTTAGTTTTTACGTTCGTCTTTAGAAGACTATCGTTTTTTGATATCTCTGAATGTGAACGATTCAATTAAGCCGTTCATCATTGTTCAATTTTTTTTAATTTTGTTCGTTCACAACATTTTTTTTGTTCATAAAAACTATGCCTATTTTACTTAGAGATGGTAGATGAAATTCTATTTTATAAATTTAACTTTAAATTTTGATGGAAAATGTTAAAGATTTAATTAATTTTGAGTTAATTTGATTCCTAGGAGCGGAGTGGGAACAGAAGAACCAAGTGAAAGAATTTATTTTAAAAGAAAACGTATACTCTTCCCTATAGAGCTAGTTTTACTGTAGATGTAGATGTAGAATAGATGAAAGGAAGAAAGGGTGGATGGTTGAAAGGAAGGATGGATGGAAGGAAGGAAGGATCAAAGGATGAAACGGTGGAAGGATGAAAGGAAGGAAGGTTCGAAGGAAGAAAGGATGAAAGGTTGAAAGGAAGGAAGGATCAAAGGATGAACAGATGAAAGGTTGAAAGGAAGGAAGGATCAAAGGATGAAAAGATGGATGGGAGAAAGAAAGGAAGGATCAAAGGATGAAAGGATTGATGGGGGTGAAAGGAAAAAAGGATGAAAGGAGGATGGAAGGATTAATGAATGAATTAATACTGGTGTGAGAAGAAAGTTAGACTATGTGTATAGGCTGAACTGGGCTGAACTCGGCTGAACTGGGCTGAACTGGGCTGAACTGGGCTGAACTGGGCTGAACTCGGCTGAACTGGGCTAACTGGGCTGAACTGGACTGAAACCAAATTTTATTTAACAATCCATTTCATTTCAGCGAGAGAGGTTTTTGTGAACCTAAATTTGGCAAAATTTGGCTTAATCTTGAATTATGGTCAAGGGCCGGGGGATCAGAGTCACACGTAGAGGGGGGGGGGTGAGGGGAAAGGAGGTGAAGGGTGGGGCTAGGTCATTCCATGAAGCCTGGTTTTTGTGAAAATTTTATCTGAGAAATTATACACATATCATGGCAGGGACAGGGGTTCATATCGTAACAAAAGGGTTTTAGAAAAATGAATTTTCACAAATAAAAAGAATTTTGAGACACTTTTTGAAGACTTTAATTAACCAATACAAAAGTTAATTGTTTTTGAAAATAGATAAAATTGGTTTCCTGGTATAGAAAGGAGCCCCTGTAAATTGGTATAAATTGTGTCGGCACCGTGAAACGGAAACTCATTTCAAATATTTTTTCTCGAAAAATTTCCAATTTTCCAATTTAAACTTTTCTACTGAGTATTCTGCACGCACAGTTTAGATTTTGATGGATAAATTCTTGTGAAAAATGATTTTCCTCGAAATTGGGCCTAAACCAAGAGCCTGGGAAGGATCGAGAGATAAAACCAGTTTCAAATTCCAGGCCGTGCAGGCATTGGTTTAGTTATCTGACAAAATGTTCGCGGATTTTGCACCGGACCGACCTTCCCGCATTTCTTCCCTACCCGGCGCGGTATCTCACTATGTTTGTACCGGCACGGGTATAGGGATGAGAGTAATGATACTGGAAACTGGATACACAGCTCTATGATTTTTACAACCTCGGCTGGGAAACTTTTAACGAATGAGATGTGAGCGGGATAATAAAGAAAACGGATAAAAAGGCGGAACGAAAGTCATCTTTTATAAATGAGCTGGGTCCAAGAGGGACAGATGCTTTAATACAAACTCATGGGATAATTTTAGGAAGGAGGAGAGGGGAGGGGGACAGAGGCGCAACTAGGGGGGGGCGGCCGGGCGCGCGCCCTTCCCTAGCACCTGAGAGGGGGGGGCGCGCCCCCCCCCTGCAGAATGAAAAGAAAGAAAGAATGGCGAAAATCAGTATCACTAATTCATTGATTTAGTATAGTGATACCTACTGAGAAAGCTGTAATCTGTAGGAGTTTCGNTTTTTTAGACTTCAAACCCTTAAAAAAGCACTTTTGTTTTTGAAAAATTTTCGAAAAGGGGGGGAAACCCCCCCTTACCCCCCCCAAACCCTAACAAAATAATATATTGCCCCCCTCTAGCAAAACTCCTAGTTGCGCCTCTGGAGGGGGAAGGGGAGGATGGCAATTTTTTTCAATTGATATAACTTTTCATGTAATTGTACTGTATAATGAAAACTGTACTAAATCCTTTAAATTTGTACTTAAATTATTTCAGTCAAATGCAATTCTTTATAAAAAAAAATTTTAAGAAACAATTTTAGGAATTTCAGAATTTTATCAAAAATGTTGAAAGGTGAATTCCATGAATTAGAATTATATATTTGGTGAAAAATACCTTCCAAATGTATTTCAGATTAATTGTGATGTGGTTCAAACTTGTTTTAATGGAATTATAATTATATATTTGGTTTAAAAATACCTTCCAAATGTATTTCAGATTAATTGTGATGTGGTTCAAACTTTTTAAAGTGGAATTGATTACTCTCAATGTGCAGGTTCAAACTTTTTTAAATGG